ATGGTAGTGGCTTTGTGCTGGCCAGTTAACTGCAATTTAAGAACTTGAGCATAGTATATGAGAATGTGAAAGCTTTTTATTCTACTTTTCAACCTCATTTTAAAATTGGAACTCTAGCACCTAATGCTTCAGCATCCAGAAAATAGTGGTTCAGTTTCTGTGGATGACATCAAGGGACCAGTTTCTTCTTATTATTGTATTAGCAAAGAAACCTATCTTTCCTGCTGAATTGAAAAAACAAAGAATGAGTTTATTGCCTAAGATTTCTTATAAATTAACATTTCGGCAGTGTAGAATGCAATATTGTGCTAAACTATCAATCCCACATAGTTGGAATTTTTTCTGCTTGAGGTGTCATCAAGCAGAATTTAAGAATTGGATGGTGGCTTCTTTAAGATGAAATATCAGTCTTCTAAAGACTAAGTACGATGAAAAACAGGCACTTGGCATCCACATAAAGAACTTTGAAATCAGTAAATCCACAGACCAACTTTGAAATAAAAAAAAGTAGTTCTAGAAGTGAATGTTTTAAGAAAAACTCTTTCTTCCTATTTTTGAGGGGATGATGATTGATTTATCTAGAGAGTTGGACTGGACTGAACTACAACTAGAGCTTTAAGGTGGCCAGGATGGCAACCAGAATACAGAATGTTTGGTTGAAAGAATTTCTCATATTTCACCTGGAGACAAGATTTTAGGGGCAACATAATAGCAAAATGTTTATATTATCTTTCAAAACTCATGGAAACCCTTAGTCATAGTAGGACTGTAGGCATTATTCCCATTCTAAAGATGAAGGCTCTAAATTAGATTTAGGTTAAGGAATTTGCCTAGGGTCATAGAGCCAGTAAGTATCTCAGTATCACTCTAAAACAGATTTTATCCTGGAGGAAATTTAAGCAGTGGTTTTAAAATGAGATTTTGGAATGCCCAGCTGATTTTATTTACCGCTGTTAATTCTGTTCTCTAAAACCAGAGATAATTGGGAAAAAGAGCTAAGTTCTTAGCACAATTCATAGAGCGTGTATATGTGTGTGTGTGTGTCTATATATCTATATCTATATCTATATATCTATATATATATCTGTTACATATTAAATTTTAAGTGTTTAGCGCATATATTTATCTAAATGCTACATTTAACACTTTCACTATAATTACTTGATACTGAGAAAAAGAACATTAGACTGGAAGTGAGATGCTTTTTCTCTCCTGACACTGCTACCATCCCGGTAAAGGGTCTTATCACCTCATACCTGTGAGTATCACATCATACATATGGTAGTGGCCTGCTGGTTGATCTCCCTGCCTCAAATTTTTCCTCCAGTCTATCCTGCCCTCAGCTATCAAAGTGATTTTCTAAAGAGCAGGTTTGACCATGTCATCCTCCCTAGTCAATAAACTCCATTGGCTCCCTGTACCTTCAGGATCAAGTGCAAATTTTTTTTTCTTTGGCCTTTATAACTTGGCCCCTTTGTACATTTCCAGTTTTCCTAACACTTTATTCTCTTACACATAATCTGTAATCCTGTGACACTGACCTCCTTGCTGTTCCTTAAAATATTCTTTCCTAATTCCATGCATTAGCTGCCCCCAGTTTCTGGAAGACTCTTCCTCATCTCTCCCTTCTGGCTTTTCTAGGTTCCTTCAAGTGTCAGCCAAAATCCCATATTCCGCAGGAAACCTTTCTTGGTGTCTTTTAATGCTAATACCCTTCCTCTGAGATTGGCTTTTTATCCTGTGTGTATTTTGTTTGTACATAGTTGTCTACATGTTTTCTCCTTCTTTATACTGTGACCCCCTTGAGGGTAGGGGTTCTTTTTTGCCTTTCTTTGTATTCTCAGCATATACCACAGTACAGGACACATATTAAGCACTTCATTAAATGCTTTCCTTTCTAATCCTGACTCTCTCACAAATCATCAGGTGTTTAGTTTCCCTGAACTTCAGTTTCCTACATTGTAAAATGAGGGGTTTGAACTATATAAGGGACCTCCTTGGTCCTGTCCACTCCAAACTATTATATATTTGAGTGTGAAATTTGAAATCAGTTAAACCGTCTGGGTAAAAACCCGGTCCATGCCATGGCCATGTTGTTTGGAAAGGTTGATTGTTCAGTAATCCTACTTTGCCTTAGGGTGGTTTAATCCCAGGACCAAAATACTGTAATAAAAACCCAGGTGTTTGGAGGAGTGGGACCAGTAGAATGAAGGGAGAAAAATTCCACTTGAGTTAAAAAAGTTAATTGAACCAGTACAGGATACGGGAGATGGGGCTAGGAAGAAGTTCATGTGGAAAAAACAAGGTTCCAAGGGACTACAGGTTCAGCCTGAGTTAGTGTGATCAGTGGGAACCAGAAAAGCAAACACCGTTTTAGGCTATAGTCATGGAAGCTTCATAAGCCCTTCATGATCTGGCTCTAGCCTTCCATTCCAGACTTCTTAGATGTTGCTCCCCTTCATACCATCTCCACCTAAGCCAAATTGACCTGCTTGCCATTTCTCACATACATTACCTTTCCTATTTCCATACCTTTATACTAGTTGTCTCCCATGCCTGGAATGTACTCCCTCTCCTGTCCACCTTTTAGAATCAGCTTAGGTGCCATCTTTTACTGAGCCCTTTTCCTAATCCCTCTAGTTGCTTGGCACAGCTCCCCAGATTACTTTGTATTTGCTTTGTATGTGTTCACATGTTGTTCCCACCAATAGAAGATAAGTTCCCAGAGAGCAAGAGTTGTTTTTGTCTTTGGATCTGTAGTGCTTAGCACAGTTTCTAGTGCATAGTAAGTGTTTAATAGATGTTTGTTGATTGCTTGATTTTATACTCACAGAGGTCTTCATCCCAGATGGAGGACCTGGGAATGTCATAGCCAAGATTCATGATGTGAGTTGGTGTTAGACTATACTACCTTTCAGCACATATGGCATGGGAAGATCACTTAATTTGGAGTTGAGGATTCTTCTGACCATGAAGGTCTACAATTCTAAAGTCAAATTCATAGTATGATATGAAAGAGTAGCCAAGAAATAGGTTACCATTTTTATTTACATAATTTCTATCTTTCCTCAGTCCTATCCTTTAGCCTCAGTATTAAAAAGAAGAAAATATCTGAGTCATAGACTACCTGATACTGTCTTATTTATCTTTGAGACTCTCATCCCACTTACCAAAGAGCTATAATTCATCCAGACTTATACAAACAGTAACTAAGCTAATTAGAATCTAGTCCCCTTAACATTTATTTCTTCATTTTTGTGAAGCTTAGAGTCCCTGCTTTAAAAGAGACTGTTTTTTGAGAGGAAGAGGAAAGAGAATGCTTCTACAGATGCTTATATTTAAACCTGCCTTTCATTTAGATCCGAGTTTTCTTACCAGCTCTGTCATTAGTTTTGTATAACGTTGGCCAGTGTTTTTTGTGCAGTGGAAAAAGCCCAGGACTCAGAAGTCAGTGAAAGGGTTGTCCTAGGGTCTTTACCAGCTCTAAATAAAATCACTTTTCTGGACCTTAGCTTCCTTAGAGAGATTGAAGTGGAGTGTTGCAAAAGATTTCCAAGGCCCTCTAGCTCAAGTCTACCATGGCTCTAATGTTCACTAGTGAACCCTGAGTACCTCTTGGGGTAGAGGAACAAGGATTAGACATCTATTGCAGGTGCTGGGTCTCTGAATTAATTGGAGTGATTCAGGGAATCACAACATCCCTGGAGCCTCAATCCAGGGCCAATGGTAAGGAAGAAAGTGTAGGAGAGCTAGCCAGGAGAACTAAAAAAGTAAATACAGACAAGCTTTCCTCCCTTCAGTGTAATTTAACAATTTATTAAGTATCTACTTTTTTTAAGTACAGGGTTCTTACATTATAATTGTTCTATGCATTAGAGAATTCCCTGATCAGCAGCAAATATCTGACTCCTTCTTTAACTTAACTCTTTATCTGCCCAACTAAGTCCAAAGCAATTTCCTAGCAAAGAAGAAAAGCCTACACTTTGCTTTTTTTTTTTTCAAAATTGAGAGAAGAATAGGGAAAGCTTTTTTCTTTTAGAATAAGAAGTTGTAAACAATGTGCAGGTGGGGCAGGCTACATCAAATATGGTAACTGTCTGAAAGGAAGACTCTTCCTTGATATGATTAAAAATAAGCAAAAATGGAAAAACCACCCTGTGAAAAGTTGTGTGTGTGTGTGTGTGTGTGTTTTTCCTCCTGGTGTGGCTGCCACTCCTGTATTGGTGATGTACTTCCCTTTAGAGGCTGTTTTTCTTCAGTCAGGTTATGAATTTAACATCCCTTATGCTTGCTAGAATTGTAAGCTAGACACACCTTTCCTCCCACTATCCAAACTGTTCTTGTTCTTCAAGAGGTGATCTTCATATTAGAAATGTGATAAAGGCCCTGTCTCTGGATTCCTGGATATAGCATTTGGGAGTGGGGGGAAGAATGAAAGTTTGGAATCAGAATACTCTCTAAGCTGACAACCTTTCTGTTGCCAACACTTAAGGAAGGCAGAAGGTGGAGATACTGATGAATTCATCAAGGGTATCTACAACAGGAAGTAAATCTGTCAGCAGGCATCTTCCAGGGGCTGCTGCACAGCCTGAAAACTGTATTTAAATTAAACAGTTCTGGATAATAGATTTCAGGACCAGGCTATTTTCTGGATGTGAGAGAGTTACTGGCCCCTTATACTCTTTAGGACTGGGAATACTGCTCAAGGAGAGGCCATTTGGCCTGAGGGAGGGTTCTGTACCTGCATAAATATAGGAAAGTATTTCCTTTTTTCTCTTATTACCTATCACCAAAGCCCCAAATTGTGCTTATCTGTTTACCGAGGTGGAATTAGCAATAATAAGTAACAGTTCCCATTTGTAGAGCATTTTAAGGTTCAATAATAGTAACAGAAAGCATTTATATAGTACTTTAAGGTTTGCAAAACACTTGATAATTTTTGTCTCATTTTACAAAGCACTTTCCTTATACCAACTTTGTAGCACATTCTGCTTCCCTCCTTTTTTTTTTTTTGCTTGCAGATGACGAAACAAACTCCGAGAGATTTTGTAACTCAGATCTTGAGTTTTTAATTCCTTTTTCCAAGTTGTCTCACTCAGGGGGAAAGGCACCATCGATTTCAACTTGCTGCTTGTATGAGCCTGAATATAAGAGAGCAGTCAGCAAAGCAGCCACAGAAAGGTGAAAGGAGTCTAATTCATTAGACACCTCCTCTGTGTTGGCACAGTTCAAGGCACTGGATAAGCAGAGAAAAGAATTGTAAGACAGTGCCCCTTCTTTTTGGAGGTACACATGATACACTTCAACAGTTAAGTAACAATGCTGGGCAACAGCATGTACCAGGTGTCAAAATGATAGTTCATACTGTGATGCCTAGAAGAACATAAGCAGAGATGAAGGTGCATCACTGTGCTCCGAGATACAAGCCCAAATAGAGAAGTGCTTCTTTCCTCTTATATGGAGTTCTTGACCTATGTCAAGGAGTTCTATGTCTCTGAACTCTTGGAAGAAGCTGGAGGGCATTTTGTTTTAGCAAAGAACTGCAAACTAAGGGGCTTTTCATCTGTAGGGGAATGGCTGGACAAATAGGGGCATATGAATGTAATGGAATACAGTAAGAAATGACAAAAGGGACAGATTCAGAAAAACCTGGGAAGATTTGTATGAACTGATACAGAATGAATTGAGCAGAACCAAGAGAACAATTAAAAAAAAACAACTTTGAAAGACTTAGGCATTCTGACCAGTGCAAAGATCAATGACAATTCTAGAGAACTGATAATAAAGCATTCCACCTACCTACTGTCAGAGAGGTGCCTTGGAATCAAGGTGCAAAATGAGAAACAGATTTTCACATATGGCTAATGCAGGAATTTATTTTGCTTTGACTGCATATTTGTTTAAAGTATTCTGTTTATTTGTTTTTTGTTTGTTTGTTTTTTCCCCCAGTGGAGTTGGGATTTTTTAAAAAGAGCAGTTAACTATAGAGGAGAGGGAGACAAAGACAGAGAGAGTGTTAGTTTAGAAAAACAAAGATGAATATTAAAGCACTTTCTTAAAATGAACAGCAGAAAAGAAAAGATTTGCCTAAGGAAACATTGACAAGCAGGACAGCTTCAAATGGAATTTATTATATATTTAGGAGGAAAGCAAGCAGTATAAAACAGATTTACAATTTCACATGCAGTGTTTTTTCTGTCCTCCTTTATAAATAGAAATGCTTATTTTGCTTGGTATTTGGCAAATTCAGAATAAACGCTTAAAATTTTTTCATCTGAGGCTAGGGTGGCAGTCATGCAAATTTCTTCATTAATATTTAGATTTAAAGTTGGGTAGCAGGGAGTATGCAGGGCATATGCAAAGGCATATTACTTTCTTTTCCTCCTCCTACTGAAACTCCAAGTAGGAAGGGAAGTGGGAAATAATCCATTTTCTTTTATGTTTGAATACCACTTCAAACCCCACCCAAGAGGACTGATTCTGTTTTTCCTGAAATTCTGTGGATCTTCTGATATCTTGAACATTTCTCTTGCTTGAAGCAGAGCTATGCCTTGGAGGAGCCTTCTCCTGAAACTTCCAAGCCTATATTGTGAACAGATTCTAGCTTGTGTCCCCACGGCACCTCCCATAGGACCCAGTGCCTTAGACTGAATCTCTCTGTGTTGTCCATGGTAGCAACCTAGTGGACTGTGGCATTTCTGCAGTGAACACTTGTCTTTTTCCATTCTTTTCTCTGCAAGTGTTTTGAAATGTTTTTATGCTTTGTCAGAACCTCCCTGGCTGTGGGTGGGGATGGTGTGGATGGAGAATGGAATTCCTTACTTGGAAAACTGCTCCCCATATGCAATGAAAAATCTTCCCACAGCACTGGAGCCTTTCCAGGATTGCACACTCCTCAGAAGTACAAAGAAGCAAACAACAAGTTTTAGGGCACTAATGAGAATGTATTAAATATCTCCAGCAGTTTTTCTTCCACTTTTTTACATTCACATTGAAGGTAAAATTTATTACTTGCACCAATATTGAAAGCTTACCGAATTCAGCAAGTTTTTTTTTAAACATGTCTTATGTGCTAAGTGCTAGAGAAAAACAATCTTTTCATTCAAAGAGCTTACAGTCTACATGCGCCTATTAATCATCTACTGTGTACTAGGTACTGTGCTGGGGAAGGTTCAGTATAAAAGCAAAAGCCAATAGTCCCTGCCTTCAAGGAACTTACCATCTAGCCAGAACAACAACAAAAAAAAGGAAATAAAAGGAAAAGTACATATATAAGTATTTACAAAATATGAACAAAGCATTTTGAGGGGAAGGCCAGCACTGCTGTTAGAATCAGGTTGGAATACGGTGCTTGAGCTAAATCTTGAGGAAAACTCAGGATTCTTTTTTTAAAAATTGTATTTATTTATTTTTAGTTTTCAACATCCACTTATATAAGGTTTTGAGTTCTAAAATTTCCCCCCTCTCTTCCCTTCTCACTCCAAGACAACATGCAATTTGATATAGGCTATACGTATATAATCATAGTAAACATATTCCCACATTACTCATGTTGTGAAAGAAGAATCAGAGAAAAAGGGAAAAATAACAAGAAAGAAAAAACAAACAAAAAAAGAAAATAGTATGCTTTGATCTTCATTCAAGACTCCATAGTTCTTTCTCTGGATGTGGATAGTATTTTCCATCGTGTGTCTTTTGGAACTGTCTTGGATCATTGCATTGCTGAGAAAAGCTAAGTCTAACAAAGTGGGTCAAAGCACACTGTGTTACTGTGTACAACGTTGTCCTGGTTCTGCTCACTTCACTCAGCATCAGTCCATACAAGTCTTTCCAGGTTTTTCTGAAGTCTACCTGCTCATCATTTCTTATAGCACAATAGTATTCCATTACATTCATATACCACAACTTGTTCAGCCATTCCCCAATTGATGGCCACCCCTCAGTTTCCAATTCTTTGCTACCTCAAAAGGAGCTGCTATAAATATTTTTGTACATGTGGGTCCTTTTCCCTTTTTTATGATCTCTTTGGGAGACAGACCTAGAAGTGCCATTGCTGGCAAACTAGGGATTCTTAAAGATGGATGTGAAGTGTGAGGGCATTCCATCCATTGGAGTAAGCCATTGCAAAGGCATGGAAGCCGAAAGGGAAGTACTGTGGATAAGGAACTGCAAGAAGGCCAGATTGATTGGACCACATTCTGTGTAGAGGGGAATAATATATATAAATAGCTGGAAATGTGGTCTGTGGCCAGATTGTGAAGGACTTTGAATGAAAACTTGAAAAATCTGAAGATCACCTGGCAAGATAAGGTACTAGATACTGAGGTCCTCTCTCAAGCTGAATTACCAAGAATTCACACTCTGCTGCGGAGAACACAACTCTGATGGGCTGGCCACATTGTTCGAATGCCAAACATACATTTGCCTAATAGACTATTTTAGAGAACTCCCACGAGACGAGTGCTCACACGGAGGTCAGAAGAAGCAATACAGTGACACTCAAGGTCTCTCTGAAGCACTTTGGAATTGGTTGTGAGACATGGGAGACACCGGCAAAGGACTGCCCAGCATGGCATACCTGCATCAAAGAAGATGCTGTGCTCTATGAGCAAAGCAGAATTATAGTAGCAAAAGAAACGTGAGATATTAAAAATATCTCCACTCCAAATGTTCATATGGACTATTTGTGCCTGACCTATGGTAGAGCCTTCCAAACTTGTATTGGTCTGATGAGCCACATATGCTAAGCACTTTACAGTTATCTTATTTGATCATCACAGCAACCCTGGGAGGTAGGTGCTATTGTTATCCCCATTTTACAGATAAGGAAACTGAGACAAACAGGTTAAGTGACTTGACTAGTGTCACACAGTGTGTGAGGCAGGATTTGAACTCAGATCATCCTGACTCCAAGCCTGGTACTCTATCCACTGTGCCACCTAGTTGCCTCAAGAAGGAAGATTATTTTAGCAACTGTATGGTGGATGAATTGGGGCATTGATATATTGATAAACATATAGTAAGGTCTTAATGTGTTCCAGGCACTCTGCAAACCACAGGGGACACAAAGAAAAATAAAACATAGTCTCCTGCTCTCAAGGAGAATCAAGGATTCTAATGAAGGAGATAGCCTACAAATAACTTTGTACATTGATACAGAGTAGATGGAAGTTAATCTCAGAGAGAAAGCCCTAGCAATTTGGGGAGGGAGGGGTAAATAATAGGCCACCAGCGAAGGCCTCCTGCAGAAGGTGTGACTCTAGCAGAGTTTTGAAGGAAGCCATGGAAGGCAGTAGGTAGGGATGAAGAGTGGGGGCGGAGTTCTCTTGGCATTGAAAAGATGTGGAGGCAAGTTGGAGTGTCTCTTGAGTGGAAAGTAGGTCAGTGTGGCTGGATCATAGAGTATGTGGAGGGGGAAGTAAAGTGTAAGAAGACTGGAAAGGTAGGAAGGTACAAGATTTTGAAAGGCTTTAAATACGAAACAGAGTATTTTATATTTTAAACATCTCTTATGTGCTAAGTGCTAGAGAAAAACAATCTTTTCATTCAAAGAGCTTATAGTCCACATGCGCCTATTAATCATCTACTGTGTACTAGGTACTGTGCTGGGGAAGGTTCAATATAAAAGCAATAGGCAACTAAGTGGCACAGTGGATAGAGTACCAGGCTTAGAGTCAGGATGATCTGAGTTCAAATCCTGCCTCACACACTGTGTGACACTAGTCAAGTCACTTAACCTGTTTGTCTCAGTTTCCTTATCTGTAAAATGGGGATAACAATAGCACCTACCTCCTAGGGTTGCTGTGATGATCAAATAAGATAACTGTAAAGTGTTTAGCATATGTGGCTGATAATAGGGGAAGCTCCTGGAGTTTATTGAGTAGGACAGTAACGGGGGCAGACTCGTGCTTTGGTAAGATCACTGTGGTAGCTGAGTGGAGAATGGATCAAAGTGGGGACTGGAGAGAGGAGAAGCCTGAAGTGATGAGAGGTTGTGACTTGTCCATGCAACTAATCTGCCAGAGTGCAGATTGACACCCAGGTTTCACTAATACATTGTTGGTGGAGTTGTGAAATGATCCAACCATTTTGGAGAACAATTTGGAACTATGCCCAAAGGGCTACAAAAATGTGCATACCC